AACATTAGACACTTTTTGATTCCCACTAATAACTTGCATTTTGGCAGACATTAGCATTTCCTCCTCCTGCTTTTTGAGTAAACCTGAAATTAACAAGTCAACAAGCTGACATATCTATAGCAAAAGTAACTTGGCTTTCCTGTCTCCTCTGCACTTCTCATTTCCCTTGGCTGATACTGATATCACCTGTGGGCTTCACCACTGCTCACAACACTGAGACCTACCCCTCTTCCCTTCATACCCAAAGGATCTCAAGTTTACAGTAAGTATTACAGTAAGCTCATTGTCTGGGCATAGGTTTTGATTTATGTCTTTAAATAGTTTAGGAACTAGATCAAATGCTTTTTGGAAAGAAGTTAACCAAGAAAGAAAACGTGAGTTGCTTCAGTGAGTTCAAATTGTGATGTGAAATACCTGATCATTAAATGCTCAAAGAGCTGCTTTAAATTTAGAAGTGGAAAGAAAAGCATTCCAAAAGGGCAATTTTAGTTTGCCAATTAAAAAAGAAATCTTAAATCTTTAAACCTATTTTCTTCATAGCTGTAACTTATATAACCAAGACGCATACAGGGAAAACTGGGGCAGCGAGCATTACCTTAGACAGGAATGGTTGTTACCGAAAAATAGCATTTTGCTCTATTGTCAAGGCAGGAGGCAGTCTCCAGTGCCTCAGTGATCATGAGGAATTCAGACAGGCTGACTTCAGTAAAGTACCCATGCTTCCAACATTACTCTGACATGCCAAGGTCACTTAAAAGATAACATTATGAAGAGGATGTCCAAGCTCTCTTGCTTACTCTGAAGTTCCGTAGCAAGCCAAGGGCTGGAATGGTATCTCTGCTCAAGCAACTCACTAGTTGTAGTTCACATCTGGTACAAGCATTCAGGCACATGATTTCATTGTGAAACTAATTAGTGCTTGTAGTATCTGAACAAAATTCAGTCAATTCCAGAATTAAAACAAGTCTTAAATACATTGTCACAAGAAGGTGAAAGCAGGTGGTAGTTCACCCTTCTCATACAAGGGAAACCCCAAGCCCACTCCATAGAAAGACACTCAGATAACAAAATAAATGAAAACAAATGAGCTCAGGAACTGAAGGACTCGGGGGATCACTCTTAGCTAACAGGCATTTCTGTTTGTATAAGCAGGAAACCTCACTGAGCACAGTTTCTATTTGGATAGAAGTGATTTTTCTAGAAGTCTGCAGCCCACCAGATTCAAATCATCATGAAGTTAAACTTTTGCTCAGACATGCACAGCAGATTAGTTATCCTTCACATTATTAAGCAATTACTAGTTTAGATGTAACAGTAACCATGAAAACCTGCAAGGCTGGAGAGCAACCAAATCAACAAAAAACACCCCTGATTAATAGGCAGCTATTTGGTTAAAACTGAGCACAACCACACTGCTCAATTTCCTTCCAGTTGGAATATTATCTGTATCTATCAATTCTCCCCCCCAAAAAACACAACAGTCTCAAGATCTGAGAAAATATTCTTGAAGAATTACCATATTTAAACACTCAACAAAACCAAAAATTCTCCACAATACAGAAGGTCAAATCTTATTAACCAAAAGTGAGGTACATATTTAACTAATTAACTTGTATCAACAAGACATTCTCTTTTCCCATCTCATAGCTACAGCTGCTTTGCAATGACTCTAAAAGACCAAGAAGAAAGTGGATAACTCACACAGCTTTTATCACATTAGCCACACTCTGCTGTTCTCATAATCATTAGCTTTGAAGTATATTAAACAAAGCAGAATGTGACCTCAGAGTTGATATTTTTATCACACCACATAAGAACAATTTCTTATCAGACATTTCAGGTCACCAAAGGAGATGCTACTCAGAATTACCCAAAACACAAACAGACAAAAGAACACCACTGCTGCCCTGCCAAGCAATGCCAGGCAGTGACCACCCTACCAGGGAGGGCTGGCTGCTATTAAAGGCAGACACCCAATGTCAGCTTGGCTGAAGGAGCAACAAGAAGTAGATTGTGTGTATGAGATCAACAAGAAAAATTGAGGCTTATTAATACAGTATAGCTTTATTAACAGGATGCACAGGTTATCTTACTAACATTTATATTTAGTTCTATCCAATCACTAACAAAATCCACTAACCTTCTGACATGCACGACTGAAAACATTCAAAAGAAATTGAACCCAACTATTTTGAAGATGCTTCCAAACTTAAATCAACTACTCTGGTCTTCAAAGGTACAAAGTTAGCACTTAACAGTCTACTTCAGTCAGGGTAGACATCTATATCTGCCCATAACCATTAACACTTAAGGTAATCTCCTACATCAAAGAGAAGCAACTGTATAAAGCAAAGAAAACCAGGCATTTTTAAATCCATGCCAGTTTTTAAAATATATTTAACCACAGAGAATCACAGAGTCCTGCAGTCCTGAACAGGGGACTTACTCTGTTAATTCACATTCAAATATTGTTTTACAAAGACAGAATAATGTACTGCCTACACAGAACATGGACTGTCAAGCTACTTTAAAAGATATTCAAGCATGTCAGATATGTGTCTTCATAGATGAAGAGCAACACAAACTTCAGTTGGAGAAACCAGAAAGACAGTGTAACAATCAAAAAGGTCAACACAGTGAACAGCAATACAGGAGCATAGTAGCAAAGGGACTAATGCAAATGTAATGGTGTTACAAAGGAAAAGTTCTCACCCATCTCTAAAGATCTAGGCTCACAGGGAAAACTCCACAAGGGATGAATCTCCAAACTGAGATCCTCCCCTAGTGGCACTCAGCCCTTCAATGAAGTCTAAGAGAGGTGCAGCCAGGCTCGACCCCTTCTGGTCACACAGCTGAATTGCCTTCACCTGGGCACCCAGGGCTGACCGGGTCCTTCCCTCAGGTGCTCAATCAGTGGTTCAGGCCATGACTCAGTTACCATACAAATACATTAGTTGGAAAGCATTTTAAAGACCATGGAGTAGTAGAGCTTGGTGCAAAGAACCCTATCAGCACCAGCTCCTCTCCACTGCTACATTTAGTAATACAACAGAAGCTGAATTAAGAGACAGATAAACATATGACATTTACAGCTACAGAATAAGTGCTGGGAATGATTACAGTGATGGAACACTCAGACACTCCCCAAGCTCTGCTGGATTGTCTGAATACATTCTTCCACAACTGGAAGAGGGAAAGTTAACAGAAGACCTAGGTCTTAAGAAGAAGCACACCACAACCATAGGCTCCAACAGAAACAAAGGCACTTAACAGGTGCATTAATTGCAGGCCATTTTCAGAATCAACTTAAGCCAGCAGTACAGTAACTCAGGATTTCAATAAGCCAACAGATACACAGGATAACTCAGTTTCAGAAAAATGTGAGTAGACAAATAGCAGCTTCAATAATGCTTTTGTATACACATGATAAAACTATTTACTAAAAATAATTAATGAGGTGAGCAACCCAAAACAAGTTTTAAAACCTAAACCAGATTAACCTTGCCACATGACATCATGTTTTGTTACCTCATAGTTGCTCTGTACAATTCTGTAAACAAAACACATCTCAAAGTAAAAGCCCTTCCTCCCTACCCTCACCTCCTGAACAGTCATTCCTCACCACACTCAACCAAGCTACCATTCTGAAAAATAAAAAAGCTGTAAAAATACTGAAATTGGAAACAGCTTATTGCTAAAATAAGGAAAATCTAGAAAAGCATTATAAAGTATTATTAATGTTATGATTTCAAATAAAATATTAGCACCACCAGGACTGCACCTTTATAACTTTGCTTTAAAGCCACCAAGAAGTGAAAATATCACAGACATACATACCTCAACCCATACCATGACATTTTGGTGTCTCTCACCTAAACTAACCAGCAAAGCTCTCTATTGGACTGAAGCACTGATCACATCAGAAATAGGGAGAAAATAATTGAAGAATCCAAACAACCACTCCACACCCATAATAAAGCATCACAAATCCAGCACTCATTTTCCAGCATCCTTCCATACCTACTTGCAGATGGTGGGCACTGGTACCATGCACGGGTAGCACACACAAGGCTCTGCTCCCACACACAGATGTCAGTGCCTTCCTACTTCAACACCTCGGTACTGCAAGGAGATGCAGCCGGCATTCAGGAGCACCGTGATTTACCATTTATCACCTGCTCACGCTAAAATCTGCATACCTCATAGAAGTCAAACAGAATTTGGAAAGTTACACACTGATACATCAGGAATGAAGGAGCAAGCCCAGAACTGAGCTGCGCTTTGACTAGAATTCATTTTCAGAGCTTCCCAATAGCGCAGTTAACAGAAAGCGCAGAAAGTAAAACGACTGCTCTCAAACAGCCCACGTCGGTGACACCTACAAGAGCAGCACCGAGCCGAGCACCTCAGCGCAGGGCTGGGGCAGCAGCCGCGTTCCACCACTCTCAAACCACAGCCGGGACAGAGCGTCAGGATACCGCAGCGTAGCAGATGATACACGCAGGTAAACAGACAGCAGGTGCCGGGACCGTGGGAGGCTGCATTACTGCTCCTCGCTCCCACCTCCGTTCGCTCCCCACACAGCCCCGCACCGCCCGCCGCCTCCCCTCAGGCGATAACGGTCAGCGCGGCGCGAGCGCTTCCCTCCTCACAACCCACAGACCCGAAGCGCCTCACGCAACGCCCCACACAGCTTCACGCTACACAAACAATGAAACACAATCCCCCACAGCTCCAAACACAACACCGGTACCGAGAACAGCAGGCTAACAGCGCTCACCAGTTCAGCACAGAAGCTCCACACCACCCCCCTCCGCGCTCTACCGTGAGAAATGCTGCCGCCGCCGCCTGCGCCGGGATATGCCCGCCGCGCCCCGCCCCGCCCCGCCGAGGCTCCGCCCACTTATCCAGCTACGAGCTCTGATTGGACGCTCTCTGCTCCTCCTCCTTCCCCCTCCACCCGCCCCTTTTGCCGTCGCGTTGCATTGTGGGCTTTGTAGTTGCGGAGAGCGGACTACGAATCCCAGGGGCCCGCGGGGCTGCCGGTTAGTTCCGGACAACGCCTGGTGTGTGGTAACACGGCGGACGCTTCCTTCTCGTAGGGCTTCCGGCGCAGCGGAGGAGCCCCTCGGAGCTCTGTGGGCTTTGCGGGGTGGAGGGGAGCTGAGGTAAGAGGGTGAGGTGAGCTGCTTCGTCTTTTCTCTTGGTCTGGGTGTTGAGAGAATAAGGGCACGTAGAGGAAGGGTGAGGGTGGGGGTCACTGGTGTGTTTGCGTAAGGCCTGGCTTTCCCTTTGGGGCTGCGCTACGTTAGAAGCGTAAAACTCTTTCAGGTATGGGGGCCGGGAAGGGGTGTAAGAAGAGCCCGCCGCAGGTGAGCGCGGTGAGGGCCTGGGCCTTTCCCTTCCTATTGTGGGAGCGGCCCATCAGCAGGGTGACCCGGGCCGAGGGCTCGTCCTTGTCCCCGTCCTTCTCCCTCGGGGCCCTCCTGGAAGGGCAGGGCAGCAATCCCCGCCTGCAGCCCCTCGGCCGTTCCTGGCAGCGCTAGGCCCGCCGTGTATTTTTAGCTCGGCCTCGCATTGCTGAGCAGCGCTGTTAGGGCCGGGCCCGGCTCGCTCCAGGTGGGGCCTTCCGCCGACCCTGGGGGCTGGGGGAGGAGAGAAAGTGCCTGTATCGTGCTCCCTGTGAGCACCGAGCTCTGGGCTGTGCTGGTGCTGTTATGTGATTAATGAGCGGTGAGTGTTTGGCCTGCCCATGCAGGGGGCACGGGAATGCTGCTGAAGCCTTGGGACAGGTGAATGTGTTCTTGTTATCAGAGGAACTGATTGCTGAGTGCTGGTTGTTTACCCATTGGAATGTGTTGTTGTGTTTGGAACTGTTTGTGGCTTATTTGTCAGTGTTTGATAGGGCAATAGCAACTGAATGGTTTTACTTTCAACTTCCCAAGGAGGAGGAAAAGAGCTTGAAAGAGAAGTGAGGATGTGTTGTGTTATTCTGTGTTGTATTGGAGGAAAGAAGGCTCAGGGAGACCTCTTTGTGGCCTTCTAGTACTTAAGGAGAGCATATTAACAGGAGAGAAACTACCTTTGTGTGTGGGTCAGTAGTGATAGGACAAGGGGGAAGGGCTTTTAAAACATAAAAGGGAGATTTTGGTTAGGACTTAAGGGGAAATTCTTGGCTCAGAGCCGTGATGCCCTGGCACTGCTGTCTACAGTTGTGGGTGCCCCATCCCTGGAGGTGCCCAATGTCGTGGATGGGTCCTGGGAACCTTGTGGGGCAGCCAGCCCACGGCAGGGCTTAGGACTATGGATGGGCTTTAAGGTCCCTTCGAACCTAAGCCATTCTGTGGGAACCAAATATTATTCATTGGGTTAACAAATGAAATTAGGGCCTGGTCTGGGCAGCTGTTGTTTCTCATGTGATAGGAAGACTCAAAAATCAAGTATTTACATTAGAGCATATTAAACAATTTCCATTCTGAACTTCAGACTGTGAATGTGCTGTAAGCCTGATTTCAGAATAGGTTTGGATTATTTTGAAGTAACTGTCTAAAAATAGGCATCTTAGGTTTATTGTGGATTTGTGCAACTTGAATTAGTCACACAAATTGGCCTCACAATAATAAAATGCACAAGCAGTTATGCTTTGTCAGAGTGAAATCACCTGCAAGTGGCTGCAAAAAATGTGCATGCAGGTGTTTGAGAAGTGCATGTTTGCTCTTAGCAAATTGAAGATGCTTATTAAACTTCAGTGCTATTTTCTGATAATATTCCTTTTGCATCTCTTTAGTGAAGCTGCTGAATATAAGAATTAGCAGAATACAGTACCTGTACAATAGGCAGCCTGTTTTATGTTTCTTGTTGTCTTTCCTGGTTTTAGAATACACAGGTTGTTATAATCACAGCTGCTCTAGATAACAATTTCAGTGAATTTAACCACCCTGCCCATAAGTCACCCTGGCTCTAAAAAGATAAGTAGCTCAGTATCTGAAGCACAAAGGCTTTAAGCTTTGTACCATGTAGTCAAAGTTGTACAGGGGGAATGATTATGATCTATAATTGGAAATACTGTACAGGTAATTTCTCTCCTGATGGGGAAACTTGTGTGTTTTTTCAGTTACTTGTAAATAATCATTAATAAGGGTAACTTGAAGGTACCAAGTTATGCACAGGGTACATATATTGTTAGAACAGCATACTGGCCTTGCACATTGGTTTTTACAAATGAGGGCCAAGATCTTTGCCTCTGAATTTGGGACAGACCTCGAGTTAAGTGTTTGTTTTTACCTTAATCTTTCTTACTGAGCTTAAATAAGTTTTTCTGATAACCCAAATTTTGGAGGATTTTCTCTCAACACAACAAATCCTCACTACAAGAAGTGGAGCAGAACTTCTTGGTAGTGGGAATAATCCCTTTCTAGTAGGAGCAGAGCTGTAACTTCTGGTTTTGTCCTAAAAGCAAGCCATTGAATTAATCATGCTGGTAGATCAGTGCCTCAGGCCTTCTTCCTCTTAGTGGTTGGCTTAAAAAGAAATAGCGTGAATGCTTTAAGATTTTCTCCATCTGAAGTAAATGGAGCCTTGAGAATGGAATAGAGATAGCACCAGTGGTGTAGGTAGATGCCATAGCTGAGGAGTGAAATTCTGCCAGCTTGTACCTCATTTCCATTATTTTCCAGGTTTTTACAAGTTGCGAGCATGAGACTTCTGCCTTCTCTTAAAATGCTCTTGCAAAAGATAGTATATAACAAAAGCCTTTCTTTCATAGATAAATTGCTTGTTTTCACGCTGACCAGTGAGCAGAGGTGGATTTGGGAAAATTTATACACTTCCTGGTTGTTTTCTTGCTAGGTAGCTCTTCAATTCTGCTTCTAGATTTTCAGTGCCTGTCAGAAAATAGCATACATGAGAGAAGCAAGCTTATATCTTAGGTACTGATAACAGTAGCTGTACATTTTGGAAGAATGTGGAGTTTCTTTTTATCCTTTTAGCTTTATAGGAAGTTTAGCTGAATGTAGGGTGTTGTGTGGTTTTTTACTTGGACAGTTCAGCTGAATGATTGAAAACCTCACTGGGTGAATATGGAGAGAGAAGTCTATAACAGAATTCATTGAAATTCATCTCGAATGTGCTGGTTCTGTGACTGCTGAATAGTTGGGATAGTCTTTTGGTGCTGAAAAATTAAAGGTTATAACATAAGTTTTATATTGACAGTGAAAGTAGATTCTATATTAGTTATTCTCTGGGAATAGAGCTTGATGTGTTTGATGGCTTAATGCTAAACAGACAAGATTATATTAGCTTGCATCTTAGCGTTGTTTTCAAATTTAAATTCTCTTTACACTCACTATATCCATCTTGTTCCTTCTCTCTGATGATTGATTTCATCTGATAGGGGTGAGGCATGACTCGTAATTACACATGCTGGTGAACAGGCTACATTTGAATCTGTGGGTTTGCTGTGTAAAGAAAAAAGTCTTCTATGCAGATGATATTTAGCAGTCTGTCTTTTCCCATAACTCTTACAGTATATCCTAATTTCTCCTCGTCTTCTCCCTCAGACCAATTAACAGTTTGGCCGGTTGAGTAACACCCTTTTTGCCTCTAACAGCAGTTTGTCAGGGTTTTTCATCCCATGTGACAGTGTGGTGGTAAAATGGTTCACCAATTCATAGGATCTTATTCCAGCTTTTTTGAATGTCCAAAAGGCCCCACACAGCAACAGCATTTTTGAGGGCTGCTGGTCTATCTAATAATTCACCTAAATAATGGGGTTGATTACTATTTTGATGGCAACTTGGTCTAAATTGTATTTGAGACTTTTTTCTGATGTTGCCAACAAAAGTATTTGATGTTCTTGTCTGTTTTTTGTGTGCACGTGTATTTAAAAGCACCTCTTGTCCTCGGTCTCAAAAAAAATACCTTTTGTCTTCAGTCCCTTGAGTCCTCTGTGATAATGTGAGTCTGGGGTTGATTTACTTTGTTTGAGGAATGTCTGTGCCTGCTAAAGAGGTAATGGATGGTGTATAATTGTTTTTATATGGGGTGTTTAATGGTACCATAGATTAGTAACAGTAAGCTTATAGCTCCTCAGAAAATGAGTCTTTCATGGTAGTCCACAGTGCAATAGGTTTTCATAGTCATAAAAATCTGTCATTTCAGTTAATATTTTATTTTCTTCCTGGATACTGCTAACCCATAAAAACACAGTAGCTATATCTAATGCTTGCTTTGTCCTTTTTTTGCCCTTCTGCTTCTGATCAAAAATCTTCTGGGTAATGTTCAGTGATGTTCAGTTACCTGTTTGAAAAGCTTCCTCTGACAGCACAATACTTTAGATAAACACTTGCAGGCAATCTATGAATGCTGTCTTCTGTGATGCTCCTTTGTGTGCTGTCTTGCTTAAGTGTTTATCTTACTGAGCTTCCAGAAACACAGAATTAAAGAGTAAAGCAAACAGCTCTCCCTCCACCCTGCCCATGACATGGCAGAGTTGTTGGTGCCAGCAGTACGCATGTGTAAGAAATGGGACAGCTTGTACTTGCACTGGTGGAGGAAACTTGTTCAGACGAGTCCCCCCCCCTTCATGGGTGTAGACTTGGCATCAATTTGTGTAACTTGGAAACAAATGGTTTAAAGATGTTCCCATTTGGGGGAAATGATGAATATTCACTTGTGTTCTCCCATGTTGTCAATAACTGTATGTAAAATAGCTGCTGGTAGGTCGTAAACAGAAAAATAAGTGAGTCTTGATCTGTAATACCATTCATGCCAGCATAGCTGTATGTACCTTTATAAGGACCCAGTGAGCCTTTTTTGTGGCTACACGAGTCTGCTTATGTGTCACACTGAAGGTTTGAATCAAGAGTAAAAATTGGTTTTGCAATAGATAATCCATGTCACAATTTGTATGAAGAACTGTCACTTTTTACTATATTTACATTTAATTTCTTCTTAATGTGCTTTCCCAACTGTTGGCTATTTCTGTAATGTGACCTGCTCCTGAGTATTATTGCATTGGGGTGTATTCATGCTGCCCAGTCACATGCATACGTGAGGCATGCATGGTATTTGTAGCCATCTGTGTTGTGTGCTTACTTGAATCAATAACAAATTTCATTTCTACCTACTTGCCCTGGGTGAAAAGATTAAATGTTTTGTTATTTAAATGTGTGGGGGAGAGCAGAATGGGGAATAGAACTTGAAGTGTCTTAGCATGTTTTGTCCCATTCAAACTATTGCAAGTGATATTGATTATTGCTGTAGTTTTTACTATTGCTTAAAAATGTCACTCTATTCACTTGCTAAAATATCTGTAAAATCTGGCACTCGGGCATACAAATGCTGGATGTCTGAAGATTCCTGGGAGAGAAAAAACTCCTATAGCACACTATAAAGAAAATCAAAGAAATAAAAACATTTGCATCTTTATTTCTAAATTGGACATTAGCTTCTTAAACTCAATTATGGCATGTAAAATATTCTCCAAGTCTTAACTTGTTGAACACAAAATCTAGCTGTGTGCTACGAAGATTTCTTATGAACCACAGGGCTGCCATCTTCCTTTTTTCCCCTCTTTGTGTCTGAGCAATGATTGCGCTATCTTGGGCATGATGAGCTGGACTGGGTGGAGAACTTCCAAAACCAAGGTTCAGTTACTGGAACAATTTTCCATTCAGTTAGCATAACTGTTGACACACCCTGAGTGGAAAGATGACTTAAGACTTTTGCTTATATAAGAACAAAGATATAGCATTCACAATTTTTGTATTGTGTATTGAGTGAAATGTAGGGAAATGAATTACATAGGAACTTGCAGTGAAGATTCTGTGGCAGCATGTTCCTATAAAATACCTGCTTGTTTGGTAAATTAGAATTGGGAGTTTAAAATTGCATGAAGCAGCCTTTCTATACTTGCTTAAACTCATAATTCCCACACTCTGGGCAGGAACTGATGTTCTAGTTTTTTTCTATTTTAGCACTTATCAGTCATTAGCATTCATGATTACTTGTTGGTTTGTGGTTTTTTTCCTCTCAAAATAAGGACAACTTTTCTCAAGTTCTTCAAATATTCTTGCACGACGAGGAGAAAGAAGAAACATTTCAGTGAATGAGGAGTCTTTTGCTTCTATAGCATTTTTCTTGAGAAGTGGGACTTTGAATGAGGATGACAATGGAAGAGATGAAGAATGAAGCAGAGACCACTTCTATGGTTTCCATGCCACTCTATGCTGTTATGTATCCTGTTTTTAATGAGGTAAGCTGTGTGCTTTTGCTTTAGAATCTAGTAATCCCTTTGTGTTAGAAAATCTGATTGCAGTAACAGGTTGCTTACCTTGACAGAGGGAACTTCTTAACACCATTTTATTTCTGTCCATCATTTCACCATTATTTCCAATAACTGCAGTTTCAAGCTTCTCAAAAGTTATTATGTATGTTGGCCCTGATATTATTTTAATTAGGTTTTGCTGAGGATATTAGCAAAAATGCAGGAAAATAAGACTTGTCTTGACCATGCAGTTCCTTTTCAAATTACCATTTTTGTGTTCTTTTTCCCTTAATCCCTGTAAATGCACACCCAAATTTTTGGGAGGCTGCTTTCAGAGCTGTTTCAGCTCTAACATTCCCAGATTTGATGTAACCTTAGCAGCTTGTGCATTATGTGACAAGAAGTGATGCACGGTGTAGCATGTACCTGTGAATAGCCTGATACATTTATATTCCTACTGCTAATGGATGTAATTGACTAGAATATTTGTCTCTGCAAGTATTAGAGATGGACAAGATGTTTTCAAAAGTCTTCTGTCAGATTTCTGCTACAAGCTGACTAAAAGCAAAGCATATCCAGTGCTGTTTGTTTAGATCATACTTCATATTGTCTATCCCTCAGATGAGATCAGTCTTTTTTCCTCTGTCAGTACCTTTCTTTCACTGGGACATATAAGGCAAGGCATAAGTGTTTTACTTGATCTGTTCTGGTAACACTGAAATTGCTAATAATTCTAAACTTCTATTGCAGCTAGAAAGAGTAAATCTATCTGCAGCTCAGACACTGAGAGCAGCTTTTATTAAGGTGAGAAGTAATTTGTATTGAAGAATGGGCTTTTAAAAGTTAAACAGCATATGTTGAAACTTTAAAGTTTGTATTACTGTGTTTGAGGAATGCATCCTTCACGATCACTAATACTCAATAAAAATGAGTGTACAATTGCATGGACTGTAAGTTTGGAATGTGTGCTCATGTTAGTAATCTGAATGATTTAAGTATACTGAGCAGTTTTAAACAATCTTGCTTTGTCTACATTGTATGAAAGCTTAAAGGTGGCTTAAATCAGTGAGGATGGAACATCAGAGGTAACAAATCCAGTGTTAATAGGACCAGATTATGTATGATAAGTGCTTAGAAGAACTAGGAATGTATCAGGCTTTGGAAAATGGTTTATAAGATCAATAGGGGATTTTTTTGTGAATGAAAGCTAAGATTGGTATTTGGTGTTTCCATTTACTTAGATCTAACAGGAAATTGAAGAAATGCTTATTTTAATTTAATATATTCTTAAAGAATGAAAATGTAAGTAAGATTCCATAATACATTTAGTAGCTAACTTTTAGCAAAAATAATAATAAACCTACATGCAAGATAAACCAAGCTTTACAACCAAGCAGTGCTTTCCTGTTTCTCCACTTAGTGTGCCTGAGCAGTCACCATTCTCAATTAGAACTCTTCCAAGTTAAATGTTCTTTACAGATAGTGCCAAGGAGCTAAGGTGAATACGAATAACACAGAAACTGAGATTGAAGGAAGTGGTAGTCTTAGTTGAAAACTCACGCACCCTCATTCTTGTTCAGCATAGCATACTCCTGTGATAGCAACACAGGTACTGTGATTACTGCTAATGTTACAGTACAGGAGTACAACAGCATGAAGTAGTTACTCATTACTCTGTAATGAGAGGAAGGGTTTATTGATAAAGTCATTCATATAAAACCACTGATGTAACCCAAGAAAAATATAGAAAATTTTCTAGCAAACTCTGGTGTATGAAGCAAGTTGCATTAAAATCTGCTTTTGTGCTTGCAATATTATGATTGCATTTCTAGAACATTTTTAAGAGCAAGTTTTCTTATAATGCAGGCTGAAAAAGAAAATCCAGGCCTCACACAGGACATTATTATGAAAATTCTGGAGAAAAAAAGTGTGGATGTGAACTTTACAGAGTCTCTCCTACGTATGGCAGCAGATGATGTAGAAGGTAATATCTTGTCTCATGTTGCATAAGGGTGTTCTTCATTGTACTCTAAACAAGAACATGCATTGCCCTGCCTCTTTTCAGAAGAGGTTTACTTTTTCTTAGTAGATTTTTTCCAACTATGCTGAATAGTAGGAGTAGCTATTTCTCTGAATACGTGTTTTGGAGACATTAAAGAAACAAAGTCCCACCACCTCAATTCCCCAGACATGTTCTTGATTAGGAGAAAATGGATGCTTTGAACTGTTTGTGTGGGAAGTTCACCTTTTGCAGCTCAATTCAAATAGAAAGCATCAGTTAGACTGACAGGGGAGCAATGTACAGTGGGTTAAAGTTCTTTTAATACTGTGTTTGGTTATTGTAATGTTGTCAGCATTCTTCTGAAATAAAAATGGGCTCTATTCTTTCTGCAATTTTCAGTAAGAAAAGTTATTGTTGGGCTGCTTCTGTTAATACCTTGAAATCCATCATGGCAATGCTAGTGCATTTTGTGAAGTGATGTTTTATTTAAGCTGTCAGTGGGAGCTTCTGGATGAAAAACTAATGGCATTTATGGCATTTTCCATATATCTACCTTATTAGAATATATGATTGAAAGACCAGAACCGGAATTCCAAGATCTGAATGAAAAGGCACGAGCACTTAAACAGATTCTTAGTAAGATCCCAGATGAGATCAATGACAGAGTGAGGTTTCTTCAGACAATCAAGTAAGTACAGTATTTTATATTTTTATGGAGTTTGAGGAGCCTAACTTTGCATTTAGAACTGAGTGCTCAAATGCTGTGGGAGGTGCTAGCAAAATTGTTCCCATTAGAAGAGAGTTTCTCATATGTACAAATGAGAACAGAGCTGAACATTTTTGAAAAGATCCTCATGTTAGTAGATGGTAATTCAAATTAGTAATTAGCAAGTTAAGTTCCATGTCCCTTTCTAGTATTTGATTTCTCTACATCATCTGAAATTCCTTCTGTGCTACTGTTAAAAGAGGATTACATTTCTATGTTTGAGCTTATGGATATTACAATTCTTTTCATTGTCAAATAGGGACATCGCCAGTGCAATAAAGGAACTTCTTGACACAGTAAATAATGTCTTCAAGAAATACCAATACCAGAACCGGAGGGTATGTGAAATATCTTTTTGATACAATATTTCTAATAATAGAAGAGGAAGCATATTGTTTTGATCAAAGGCTGAATAGGAGAGCGTAACTGGTCAATGACAGTGTTTGGTAATTCTCTACAGTTTTGTAGGAAGACTGGTTTAAAAAAAAAAACAAAAACACATAAGAACAACAACCCATCACCACAGTAAATCTATTCCTTTATCTACATAATACATATTTTCTTCTCTCCAATTACAGTGTACACAACAGCATCTCAACTTAGACTTCTTGGTGTTTTTCTTTTCTTAGGCACTTGAGCACCAAAAGAAAGAGTTTGTAAAATACTCCAAAAGTTTCAGCGATACTCTGAAAACCTATTTTAAAGATGGAAAGTAAGTGTATTTTTGTACTAAGCTTATACACAGTGAAAAGGTCTTGTTTACCTAACTGGTGTGACTGGGGGAAAATGAGACAAAATGGGGCAAGAATTGTATGTGTTGTGCACTTACCCCATACATGCCGAAAAAGACCAGCTTTGTTCAGCCCTATGTGAAGCAAATGCTGTGCTGTAGATATAAACTTTACAGTGCCTCAGGTATTATCAATAATGCAGAAAATCCCAGGTAATGTCTGTGTTCCTTGTGAATGAAAAGTCATTTACATCTGTTTAAACAATATGTTGGCTAAGATACCCTGTTTGCATGAGGAAGGAAGAGCGCTAAATGAAATAGCTACTCTTACAGGTGTCATTGAGTAGGAAAGCTCAGTGACCCCATGCGTTTGAAATAATAAGTTGCTTCCTTGTGCCTTCCTATGTGCCTGCATACTCAGTACTAGAGTAAAAAGTTTCTAATTCTGAAATTATCAGGGGTTGGAATGTTCAGCTATGAAAAGAACAGATATGTAATGATCATCTGCTCTGCACTTCCTTAGTTACTTAAAACCCTAGAACTATGTAATCAAGAACCAAAGTTTTTTTTTCAAGTTCCTGCCAATAGACTTCTTAGAAATAGCTATGCATGTGCGTTTGCCCGTTGTAAGCTTCAGGTCCATCATAGTATACTAATACATCAAGATGCTTCCAGTTTCCTTAGATGCTAATATAGTTAGTTATCCAGATTTAACTCTGTGTTTACTGAATGGCATTCTTTCAAAAGTGACTAAAACATGATTTTGTTTTTCTAACAGGGCAATAAATGTGTTCATTAGTGCCAACCGACTAATTCATCAAACCAACTTGATACTCCAGACCTTCAAAACTGTGGCCTGAAAACTGTATATGTTGAGAGTTGTACTTTTCAATGGTGGATAGGGTACCTTTATATGTAAATTTTAAAGTTTTGACTGTATAAATTATCAGCCTCTCTTGAGGGGCCTAATGCAGGATTTTGAATGGGATTATTGCCATCTTACACCATATTTTTGTAAAACATTGTAGCTTAATCATAATCTCACAATGAAGATTTTGCATCACTTTTTGCTATTATCATTCTTTTCAGAATTATAAGCCAAAAGAATTTACGCCTTAATGTGTCATTATGTAACATTCCTTATAAGAATTGTAAATATTTGGTGTTCTGTTTCTGACATTTTAACTTGAAAGCGGAAAACTGCAAGATGATGTATTTAACAATATTGGTGGCAAATATTCAATAAATAGTTTACATCTATTAGGCTGTCTTTTTGTATGTGAACAGAAAAGCATAACTCATCTTAGAACTGCAGAGTATTCATTAAATTGAAAAATTGAAGCCAGTTGGCAGTCCAAATCAGTACAAAATAAGGGGTTTTCCTTACAAGGGAGGCTTTTGGCTGTGATCAGATACTAGATCAGAATACCAGAATAATTCTATTAAAATGTCTTTGGCGAACTAATAAAGAACCTCAGGAGTGAGGTGTCTTTTTTCATAGAAACAAAATCCAACTACTTAATCTTTTTGTTGATTGTAAGTTAACACTTTTCATTACTATTCTGTGGTTATGAGGAGATTACTCTCACCTTCACCAATCACTGCATATATTTAAGTATTGACAGTTTTTTGTATTGGGAACCTTTTGGGAAGGAGGAGGAGAAAAGGTAAGTCTTCCAGAAGTGATGTTAATCTTATGCCATAAGGCAGCTTTTGCCAGGGACTTAAGTCATGTGGGGCCTGAATTGAAAGATGTTCTTTATCATCAATACAGCAACTACTGATTGACAGTGAAATCTTGTCTGTGTGATTTCATGGGAGTGTTTGGCAATTTCTAACAGTATTGTGCATTTCCCTTTGAAGTGCATCTTTATTTTATTTTGAAATACATGAAGTCTTTATGGAGTGAATTTGTAGATGAAGCAATCTGTAAAGCTGCACAAGCCTGTTGCAAGAGGATCGCTCGACACTGAAGGAGTACAATTACTGCAGGATTAATTTTTCATCTATGAAGAAATGTGGTCAGGCTTTCTTCCACAGTAATTTGGTGCATTATAGCTCATCTGGGGCAACTACCTTAAGCAGAGTACATCAGATGGGTCTTTGAAATTGTTTGCTTGTTTAAATGATCTAGAAAAGGAGAACATTAGATACCTGCTGTCCTCTAAAATAGCCCTGCATACTTGTATGTAGAAGTATTCTTTGACTGAAGTACTGATTGTAATAATGCAAAAGTGTGAAGGAGAGTATTAAGTAAAAATAAATTCTATGGAATGTATGTTAATTTCATGATTGCATAAAGCTGTAAGCAGGACAAGTCCTTAATCCTGCTGTGTGGGATGGTTTTGTTTGAGACACTGTGCTTACCTAGCAAGCTGAGCTCAGTAACATAAAACTATTCTTTACAACTCATTTTAACAAGTAACAAGAGTTTCTAACTATAGTGTGCTAAACTGGATGGCAGAAAAGAGCAGTAAGGAAGGAGGCAGCCTGCCTCACTGATTGTAGTGATTTGATTTGCGTCTTGGAATTAAAATGGATTGTGTAAGCTGAAGTCCTTGTTCCAAAGGGCATAATGAAAAATAATTAGGTAAAAGGCAGGAAGAAGTCACAGCTTTTAGTACTTGATTTGAAAGTAGTGTTTGGTACCGGGGAAAAATGTACAGTGGCTGTAAGGAGAGACATCTATAAGTTTGGTTTACTTTCTGTGAATTGGATCTAGTTAATAAAATGAGGATTTTTATTGATTTGGATTGAGGAACAGCTGGCAGTCTTATCAGCTGAACGATGACACTGTTTATGTATTTGTTCTGCAGGTACAGGTGAAAATATATGCATGTATTGTGACTTGGATCCCAAAGGTGTCCTAACTGACACCTTGACATTAAAATCAAAGAAGCTGTTAAACGAGCATTTCTCTTCATCAGTTTATCCTAAAATCTTTATTGGGTAAAAATGCCTGCTATAGTGCTACACTTCAGGTTTGTAGTCAAAGTTTTTTGTTCTATTTGTAAACTCATTGTGTTGTTTTTTTAACCTTTAAAGTAGTGTGGAGTTATTCATTGCCATCCATACCTGGCAGTGGGAAAACCTGGAAAGTGAGATGAGGTCACTCTTGTATCGTGTGCAGTGAATCCATATCTGGTAGTCTTAAGAACTCAGCTTTATCTTTCACTGAGTACCGGTTAGGGCATGTCTGTCAGAATTGCATTGTGGTTTTGCACTTTTAAGTTTCTCGATCAGCTAAGATACGTTGCTTTCCTTAGGATTTCCAATGCAGCAGCTGGTGTTGCAGATTCCTGTCAGAAAATCTATACTGTGAACTTGGGTTATAAATCATACTGTTAACATGCAGAATAAAATTTTGTATATTAATGATGTAAAGAAGTATTGTCTTCAGCACTTGTTTAATCTGTGCAGAAATATTGAAAACTTGGATTGATTTATGTCTGGTTTAGAAATCTGTAAGGCATGTCAGGTGCCCAGCTTCCGTATAAGCTTCATCTAGAGCTGGAGTACTGATGTGGGTGTGATATTCATGGAAGAACTGGTTGAGGCCTGATGTCAGAACATTGTCTGATGTAAGAAAGATGGTGGGATAGAATCAGCTTTGATTAACCATTATCTTTTCATACAACCTTACCTAGGTTATCACTGAAGTGTTTTGTTTTCGTGTTCTTTTCAAATCTTTCGCTGTATGACAAAGGAAAACATGTCTTGTTTGTTCTGCAGCTGTTATCTGATCTTTGTATTTTACAAAGAGACTGCATATGATTCTCTGTGAGTTGGGTGGGGAATTAAATGGTGTCTAGACAAGCTTGCCACAAATTTCTTTTCAGATCATTCCATTATTAAAAGAATGAGAGGGAGATAAATGTGAGTGTGTAAGGTAGCAACCCTCACATTTGGCACAGCAGTGATTATCACTTAGCTGGGATTAGGCACTGGCTGTTCCACTTGAGAATACTGCTCTGCCATGCTCAGTCTGGCTGTCTCTTCAGGACTAAGCAGTGCCTTCTGAAAACAGGTGCTGCAGGCAAAGTCTGCTTGTGAGCTGTGGGAACTTTTCTAGCTCTGTGTAATGATTCAGTGCATTTGTTCACTGTCTTTTTTTACTCCAGGGTTTTGGTTTTCTCACTTCTGGGCAGATTTTGCTTTCAGAAAAAACTAGTAGGAAACATGTTTTGGGAAAAGAACCAGTAATGAGCTGTAACCTTGGTACTACAGCTGAAAAGGTGCTCCTGGGTCATAGCCTTGGCATCTCGTTACAGAAGTTCAGAAGCAGCTACCGTATGATGTTGGTCATAAATCTATCAAGTTCTGTTCTAAAGCCATTTTCCTTGTTCTTATTCCTCTTGTTAGATACCATTTTAAAACAGTATGAAAGGGGCAGAGAGCCTTCAAAGATTGAAATTAAATACCTATTATAAACATATAATTTATGATGAAGAATTCACTAATCTTGTTCACAACCAATTGTTCTCTTTGCCTTCTTTGCTTGGCCTTTCAGTGTATGACAAAGTACCAGTTGTATCTCACCCTGGGCTTCACTGCTTAAAAATAGCCAGTCCCAAGGTTTTGGCCTTATCTAGGGAGAGCAGAGGTGCAGGGAATGCTAAACTGATCCCTTTGAGGCTGAGATGAAACAACTTTTCCTCATGCTGTAGCACAGACTTGAAGTTTACAACGGAGGAGTTGTTGCTTCCAAGGTGGAGAAGGAAGGCTTGGCTTATTATTATCAAAGTGCTGTCCCTCCTCAGTGTCTCTGCCTTGCTCTTTTTCCCTACAGCTTGCATGTGATCTTATACACGTAGAACTTAATTTCTGCACCAGTGCAAAATGGTCCTTGTGAGTTGTAATGCTCACCCAGCTATGGCTGAGGCACAGCATGTGTGCAGTGGGACCTATGGGTGACCCCAAGTCCCAGCCAGGGCTTGGGCAGTGCGGAGGGGGAGATTGCTTCACAGGTACTGACACCAGCTCTGGTTCCTGAATGCTTGTATGTGACTGGCTTTTCTCAGCACATATTGCACGTCTCCACAATAGTTTGCAAAATCTGTGCAAGCATATGGTTCTTCTTAATGCCTGTTGCAAGGATGAGGAGTGCAGCTTGCCAGCATTCAAAGTGCAGGAGTTGTGTGTGTGCCTGCATTGCACTCAAAAAACTCAGGCTGTGATAACGGTACCTGGATGCTATCAGAATACACAATTACAGGATAAGGGGCATCATCTCTTTCCTTCTGCCACCTTGCAGTGCTTCTTATTGCAGCTCAGATGGTGTTAAGGTGAATAAGATCTGACCTGGCAGCGCACGTACTGAGAATCTGCAATGTTAGGAGTCTGCTGTTCCCAAAAATGTGTGTTGTGTGGTGGTGATCAGGTTGGTCTAAAAACTCCAGTTTAAAATTTGTATTTGTTTAGACATCACCACTGGTTTTCTTGTAGAATTTCTCACTCAAAGATAGATTTTTCACCCAATAACAAGGTGGGCATGAAGGGAAGTTGAGGTGTTGGTGTGGGGACCACCAGGAGCTGTAACGCTTGTATCCATCAGCCTCAATGCTCACAAAGTGACTGCTCTCAAATGTTATGCTTTTTTTTTTTTACCTTAGAGACAGAAGTTTTCCTGCTTACGAAGTGTATTCAAAAAAAGGGAATGGAATTGGAGCGCTAAGCAATGCATTATTGGTGACACGGTGAGCAAAATAGGTTATCAATTTCTAATGCACTCTCAGCAAGGCTGTAAGAAAGCTGTGCAAATTTGCTTTCTGTGCTCGCCGAAGGCATCATTGTTCTGTGTGGGTGCAACGATGGGAGAGAATAGTTTGTAGTAGTTAACAAAGTTTAAACCACTATATCTAAATTAGGCATTTACCTTTGACATCTTATTATTTCATAATTGTAACTACGAGGCTTTTCAGAGTGGGTAATTGCTTTTTTTCCCAAAGCTGCATTAGTCTTCAAGGGCAAATGATGGTAAAATAGAAGCCTGAGTGCCTGAAGTTGTAAAATAAAGAGAATCAAGCACGAGCTAAGAGTATAATTCACATCGAAACTCCCCTTCAGCTTCTGGGTCCCTCATCTTGGAGTTGGTGGAAAACACTGCAGAGGGATGTATAGAACCCTGAAGAAAATTCAGGACAGTTTCATGGTAAGTGAATTTTCTAATTAAAATGTTAATTGGAAAGATTTTGCATTGCTTATCGAGGAAAATGCAGCAATCATTTTTTCACTGCTGTTTGCGTAACTGTGTGGCATT